ACTTGTGTTGTTTTCTACGGCAAAAGATGTGATTAAGCTAAGAATCTAGCAAGAAGTGGCTCATCTGGGATTATCCATGTGGGTCCGAAATACATCACAGGTATCCTTCTACGGGAAGAGACAGGAAGTTTCCAGACACACAGGAGGCAGTGATGTGAAGACGGAGGCAGAGAGCTGAGTGACGTGGCTACAAGTCCAGGAAGACGCAGGATGGTAGCAGCCACAGGAAGCTAAGAGCCCAGAACCTCTGACGGGAGCATGCCCCGCTGACACCTGGATTCCAGACCTCCAGCCTCCAGAGCTGTGAGAGCTACTGTTTGAAGCCCCCAATTTGTTACAGCAGCCACAGGAAGCCATGCATGCTCCTAACAGGCGGCCTGGTCGGGCCAGGTCCCATCAGAAGTCAGGGTGATGTGGCTCAAAGGCAGAGCTCTGAGTGCCTAGATGTGGTCTCGGGGTCTCCTAGTAACAACAAATGTGCAGATGGATGAAATTAGAAGATGCTCAGATTGAAAAGAAACTCTTGAGGTCAGAAGAAACCAAACAGCTAGAGAGAGAATGTTGAAGGACGGGGACGTGGACTGGTATCTGGGAGACCGGAAGCTAAAATGCCCAGAAAGATAGGCTTGGGGGAAGGGAAGTCCCATGTCAGGGTGGGGAGAGCCCCAGAGTATTGTTCCAAATGTGGTGAGGCAGTAAACACTTGGTGGCTAGGTGACCCATATTTTGAATTTTTAAAGAAGTGATCTTCGCTCAGGTTGGCTGATGACAGAGGGACCGTCCCCACTCCCACCGAGTTTTTGGGGGGTTTTTTGGGCCTTTGCAACAAGCTGAGCTACCTTCCAGCATGGCTGGAAGCATTAGGAAAGATGGACACCTTGGAAGTTCAAGAACACAAAATTTGGAAGCACTCTGGAAAGTCTCCATTCCTTTGGTTCTCAAAATACACAGAGCGAGTTGGCTAATGTCACGTATTCCTTCCTTCAACAAATATGTTCAAGTATCCCCTATGTGCCAGCACTGAACCCCGATCCTTAGTAGAGAGCAAGGAACATAAAGTCTACAGTTCTGACCTCTTGGAGTGTTCTCTACGGCAGCGGTTCTCCATGGGGCATGATTTTGCTCCCCCCACTCCCCAACAGGGGGTATATGGCCGTGTCTGAAGACATTCCTGGATGTCATACAGTGCTGGGGGCGCCGTAGCATCTAGTGGGAGGAGGCCAGGGATGCTAACATCTGACAGTGTGTAGGGACAGTTCCCCCACAACAAAAGATGTCAATGGTGCTAAGTGGCACTCTTAGTGTCCTAACTAGGCCACATCCACTGACACGACGGTGGATGAGGGAAGCAAGGGAGGGAAAAAGAGGAAGGTAGAAGAGCACCACAGGAGAGAGAGAGACATCACTCACTATTGTCTGTGCTCAGACCTGAAAGATGACGGGGAGTTAGCCAGGCAGGAAGTGGGGCTGCAGGAGAATAGAACCTTCCAGAAGAGGGACAAGTGTGTGGGTGAGTGTACAGGGCAAACAAGGACACCCTTCAGGACTGTCCCATCACTTCAGGAGAAGGACCATCTTAATGATACAAAGAGGCATAATCTGAATTTAATCCCACCCTACTAGCTGTGCAGCCTTGGGCAAGAAACAGAGTTTCTAAACCCAGTTTTAGAAAATAAAGTGGGCTGGAGGAGGTGGGGGTGGGGGTGGGGGCAATATCAACCTCAGGTGGGACTGTCAGCATTAAAGGAGAAAAGGCACAAAATGCCTTGGTAGCCCCCACCAAGAATGGATACTGTTCTGATTTGTGTTTTCAAAGGTCACTCTGTGCCCAGTGTGCAAAATAAAATGGGGAAGGACAACCAGAATCACTCCTCTCTGGGAATACAAAAGCAAACAAAAACAAAATACTGAGATTTTATAGAACAAAAACTAGCTTGAGCAAAGCGGAGCTTCCAAGGGACTTTAAAGTCCTTGATGACAACCCTGTGTAGCCGTAAGTAACAACAGCAACACAAACGCTTCCAGGAGCATGGAAATCAGGTTCTTTGAAGGTACAGTTGTCCTAGAGAAGAACATACACAGGTTCCCCCCGCTATCCGAACGTAGAGTGTGCTTAGGGAAACTTTTGTAGGCAGAAATCCAGGCGTGAAGAAGCAATTGCCCTGAATTTATATGGGACATTTTTGAGAATTTCCAGACCCCAAAATAACCTCCCTTAGCCTTTTCTGATACCTTAGGATATCAGACATCTTGCTTCTGGATGCACAAAACAGTGAGGTAAGCACAGACGTTCAGGGACACAGTTCAGAGCTCTGGCAGCTGGACACTGAGATGCTGAGTGAGGCTCCTGGGGCTAGAGCCACTGGCCCAGGGCATGTGGCCTCTGTACCCGCTCTTTGTAAGACACACACTCAATGCTATCTTCGCTAACGGTCTTTCATCAAGCAAAGGGACATAACACGAACCTTCGAATAGCGGGGGCACTCCTCTGAGCCCAGCCTTCCTCATCAGCCTGAGAAGTGATCGCCGTGGAAACCTCAGGAAGATCTTCACTGTGGCCCCTGGTGGGTGGTGATGATGAGGAACTTTCGCCCCCACCAGCGAACGGCCACAGAGCTTGAGTCCCACCCCCAGTAAGATTTCTCCATCCAAGCCGCTAAGTGATTTGCCTTGATCCGCTTTTCTACAAACCTTCTTTCCCAACATCTGTTCACTGTCAGAGAAAAGTTTCAGTTCGACACCCTGGCACCTCTCCCTGCGTGCAACTCTTAGGACGAAGTCAGACTCCTTCCACATCAGTGGTCCTTCAGTGGGAACAATGAGGGGTCTTAAATCCATTTCTGGGGAACTAAGTGCCATTGACCGGAACTCAATCCCTTCTGAAGCTGGATCCCGTAAGGAGGACAGCTCAGGTCCCCCAGATGACTTATGGCCAGAAGCGGGACATGGACTATCACTGTGCTCTGCTTTCAGAAATGAACTAAGCCGGAAAATAAAAATCTTTAAAAATAAATAAATAAAATAGAAATGAACTAAGTCGGTACACAGGTGTAAATTTTGGCGTGGCAAATGAGAGAAAGAAAAAAACAGACCGACCCCCGAAAAGAGTGCAAGAACGCTTTTTGATATCCAAATCCTAACCCACCACCCATTCCAGCCCCACGGCCTGGCCTCAAATTTCAGCTCCGGGAAGACGGTCCTCCGGCGAGAAGGCGGGGGCAGCTTCCCCCAGGGTAGAAAACCCAAATCACAGAAACAAGTGACCAGCCTTGATCTGCACATACTAAGTTGCTTTTATTAATCCAGAACGGCATGCTACAGATACTGTACAGCATGAACATTTATTCATTACAAAAATGGCTTCCAAACCATTAAAAATGAAATTGGAATAAGAGCATAAAACGGAACAGTAACATCACAACTGTTAGGAAACATTCAAAGTATTCACAAAAAATGTTATAGTTAGCATTTTAATAAACCAGAGAAAAATTGGAGACAGTTTTACAATCGCTTCATGTCAACTACAATGGCACTGAATGAACGGGTTTCAGCTTTATACAGCATTTTGCAACATCAACATGCCTAGGTTTTTTTTTTTTATTTGTAAAGTTTGCCACCTACTTGTATGTCATACGTGTACATAAAAGCGGCAGCTGGTTTTTCCTTTAAGAGTAATCTAATATACAGAATTTTGGCCCCTAAGGGTTTATACCTCTTCATTTAAAATGCTTTCTGGACAATCTGCTACCAAACACATCTTGTTATAAGTGACATTAAAACTACATACAAATCTACCTATGTAACATCACAGCAAAACATGATGAACAAAAATTACAGCATCAAAAAGAGGGAGAAAGCTAAAGTCACTGAGAATTTTGGCACATAAAGTTCTGCACACAGTCAGGCCGCGTCCTAACGGTACAGAGCTGCCGACTATGGTTCAAAGGAGAAACAGGGTTGGTTCCCACTGCTGCTCACACAGCATCTCGCTAAAATTCCCTCGCTAATTTTCAAGTCTTGTTTTACATAATGGCTTTTAAAGCAACTTTCGTTAATGCTACTGATCCTTTAATGCAACTAGTAATGTCCATTTGGCGGCATCTGGGTTTCATACAGCCAAAAAAAAAAAAAAAAAAAAAAGTCAAAAAGAGAAACAAAAAAATATATATACACATTTTATATATAAACTTAAAAACCTTGTACAAATGAGTTGTTATATATAAGATGCTTATGCTAAGGGAAAAAAAACTTTATACAGTTTCAAGAAAAAGTAAAACATATCTTAAAAGGGACAACGTACAGGTTCGACAAGCAATCTCTAAAGCAATAAATACTACTGGTCCAACAGCGTTGTGATTCCATTAATTGCTGAGTAGCATCCCCCTCCCCCCAAAAGAACAACACCATGGAACAAGGTATATTAACACATTTAACCCTTTGTTTCTGTACATTTAAACAATAACAAGTAACATCACAATTAAAGTTGTTTCACACAGAGGAAAAAAAAAAGGAATATGGCACTGCATTCGTCGTGCCCTTATGGTTTAAAAACCAGATGTAAAATGATTGGTTCGCAAGCTCGTATTTAATACAAATAATACAGAACCAACTCCTTCTGGAGGGCTGCTTCAAAATTGCTTCTTTTTTTTTCCTTTTTGTTTTTTAATCAGTCTTTTAAAACTAAGCTATCCGAACTACATAACAGTTATGTATATATATATATTTTTTAAACGCTACAAAGACTTTAAACAGCTGTTGATAAAAATTTTGGTAGAATCATGAGGTTCTTCTCTCATCTACATATTTAAAAGGAGAAATTGAAATAAGAATGGGTCAAATATTGACCAATGAACTCCATAAACATCAACTAATGTAGCCACGTGGCACAAAATTAAGAGTACAAAACAAAACCTTTCCGAGGGGGTGAGGGGTGGGGAGGGGGTGCAGGAGGCTGGGCGGGGGGGGGGGGGGGGGGGGGGGGACAAAGAAAAGCGAAAACCGCAACACTACGCAAACCGACCAGGGCAGGGCTAACGAAGCTAAAGCTATTCTAACGACTTGGTCACGAGGGACAGCGGCTGGGGCTGGGTCCCGGCCAGAGAGTTGTGGGAATGTAAGGAAGATGTTGACGGCTGTGCAAGAGAGGAGGACAGGATGGGCGGCTGCAGGGCGGCAGGAGGCAGGTCCAGGGCCCCGTTGGGACAGAGGGCGGGGGCCTTGCCGTGGGCGGCCTCGGCAAGCAGGAGGGCGGGCGGCGGAGGCATCATGGACAGGTGCGCCAGGGGGTCGGGCTTCAGGGACAGCGAGAGAGGCTGGGTCTGCTCAGTCTGTGACTTGGCGTCTTGGGGAGGGGAGCCTAGCAGGTTGGGGGAGGGAGGAGGCGAGTCTAGTAAGCTTCCATCTGAAGAGGGTGGACTGAGGCAGCTGCCTTCACCTTGTATGTAGCGAACGCACTTTTTTTTTCTCCTAGAAACAGGGGGAGAGAGTTATCTGTGAATAAAGGGCAAAGATGCCAAGGGAGAGAGTTATCTAATGCTCAGAGCCAAGTCAAAGTCACCTCTGCCCCCAGAGCCGGCATGGCCCTTGGCCAAGGTGCCGCACTCACTCGGCTGTCGCCCCCGCCCCCGGTCTAAGCCTGCTCTGGCGACCGACGCTGCAGGAGCTGCTGGAGTCGAGGACCAGGCCCCCTACCTACCTGCTCCCCCTGCCCCACTACACCCCCGCGCCCCCACCCCGGCCCAGATACCAGTGAGCCGACTGGAGGAGGCAGCACCTGTTTGCCAGGAAGTGGCTGCATCCATGCCGACATGGACTGAGAAGTGTGTTCTTGCTCTTTTGGTTTCGACACTCCCTGGCTAGCCCATCACATGTCTCCTCTGTCTCCGCCACCACTCCCGGTGGCCCCTGTGTGTGTGTGTGTGCTTGTGGAAAGAGAAAGAGAGCTCCTTCCCCAGGCGCCTCCTATCCATCCATATGAAACTCTCAGAACGCTGACTGTTGAGCCCATAGAGCTGAAGGCAGTGCCAGCAAGAGGCTTAGAGGTCTTCAGACCACCGCCACCACCACCACCAACTGCCACCACCACCAACCGCCACCACCACCAACGATCACCACCACCACCACCACCAACGCCACCACCACGGCCACCACCAGGCTGCCGGTGCCCAGAAAGCTTACGGGCTTTGTCTGTTAAGAACCACACCAAATCAAGAGAGGTGAGAATCAGGAGAGAGTCAGGGGTGGGGGGTGGGAAAAGGGGGGAACAAAAGTAAAACAAAAGAAATTAAAAACCAAAACAAAAATAAAAAATAAAACGAAAACAAAAACGAAAAGAAAAAAAAAAAAAAACCACCAAAAACAGGTAGAAGAGGATAAACGAAGGTGGGGAGGGGGAAGAATAAGAAAAACAGAAAATGATCCAAAGGAACAAGAATAACTGGTTGTATGGCCTGCAGGTTGTGGATTAAATTATGATTCAAACTTAATTTTTTTTTGCAGGGTTTTTGTTTTGTTTTTTAAAGATTTGGGGTCTTCCCCTCCCCCACCCCAGAGTGAGAAGGCTGGAAGGACAGACGGTGAGGATGGGATGGAGGGGCGCCTTGTCCTGGTCACTGTACCAAGGCCAGTGAATGGAGGGCGCAGGGTGTCACAAGGAAGTGACGACGAAGAAGAGGGGGGGGGGGGGGGGGGGGGGGACACCACAGCATGGAACTGGTGGGGTTGGGTCATCATGGATTCGTGTTTAAGCCAGAAAGACTAAGTCTGCCCTGCACCAAAACCCAAATTCCCCTCCGCACTTCCCGTTTACATAAGAAATAGGAATGAGACTTTCAGAGACTTTCTTACTTATCATCAGAGGTTGGGGAAATCGATTCAAGAAATTGAGCATATGACCTCAGAGCTTCTCCTACTATGATTCCCAGTCCGATGGGGATGATATTTGGTAGGAAAGGTGATCCTGGGACTCAACCCCACTCATGCAATAAAAATAATGCAGATCCAGGGAATGTGCTGCCCTAAGGAGCCCTTGAATCCAGTTAAAACCATGACTGATAACACTCGGTCTAAAAACAAGTGTGTAAGCGCCGGCCGGCTTCCCATCCCTAGAAAGCAGGAAGATGCTGCCTGGGGTCAGATGTCACTGGGCTTTGAAAGGAAGGGGGTGTGATGAGTTCCTCCTCGGGTCTGTGCCCCAGAGGTCTCTGCGCATGCCCCTCAGTGTGTGGGGTGTGGACTCAGCAAGATGGCAGGAGGGAGGGGAGGGAACATGCTTGGCCTTCCCTGCCTCCCAGAGGCTGAGACCCACCGGGTGGAGGCCTCAGGGTCTACCTGATCCCCCTCTGGGTGGAAAGGAACTCTAGGGGTGCAAGGGCAGCCCCCCTCACTTTCATTTTGGAAAGGTTCCTTTTCTCCTCTGGGATAGATTGAAACAGGCTGTGGGTTCTGCTCCCATCCCAGAAACCAACATACATAATTAAGCCTCTCAGAGTTTTAAACCACCTTAGCCTGCAGATCAAAACATGCTTAAAAAACTAAGATGTCCATGCATTTTAAAAAATGGGAGAAGGGAGGGGTGGGGATGGGGGTGGGGCGTAAGCAAAAGTGAGAGAGCGACAAGGACGAAGGAGAGGGTGGGGGGAGAGAAAAGGAGAAACAGGAAAACAGGGGAGTGACGTCAAGCAGCATTCCATGCTATATTAGGGCAGAGTAAAAAGATGGGAAAGCAACTTGGTGGGCTCAAAACAGAATCTTGTTAAAATGTCCTCAAATGTCAAATAAAATTAGAAACCCTGTGTAGCGAGCAAGGAGTCCTGATTGGCTAGGAGCGCGTCTGCCGGTCCCCTCACCCACCCGCCCTCCTGATGACACAGAGGTTTCCACGTCGAGGGGATGAGTGGAAGCATTTTGAACACGGGACATGAAGATCATGAAGGACAGCGAGACACTCCTTCTAACAGGTGGCCAAGCGAAAGGCAGCTGGAACACACACACACACTTCTGACGGGCCAGAAAATGCCTCATTTTGTAACTGCTTTGTTTTTTTAAAGGAACATTTTGTCCTACTGATTAAGCATCAAGCCAGATCCTGGCAAAGAGGAAAAGTTGAGGCAAAAAGGGGCAAAACCCATCCGCTTACCCTCCCCCACCCAGGCTCCATCTCCAACCAAGGGGCGGCCTCTGAAAATTCCACTTTTAGTTCCCCATGGATTTATTCTGGAAGGAAAACCAAGGGTTCTTCCTGATCCTGTTTGGGAGTGAGCTAAAATGCATCTGCTGATGCTTTCAGGGTCTGAGAAACACCCTGCAGAAGCAAAGTGGCCACCGAGAAAGTTCTAACAGTGTTAAGGTGGGAAGAATGCTGAGGAGTGACAAGGGACTGCAGCCTGCCTTGCTGACTGCCGGCTCTTCAGAGCTGCACTTTTGAAAATCGTGTTTATGAGGCAGCTACAAGGATTTTGGTTTTTGCTTTTGTTTTTTTGGTAAAAATGTCCTGAAACCTCTGGCCTCTGAGGCAGACCCCACACCCTGGCTTGAAACGATGTTCAGGCTGTGTCTGAGAGGGGGATGTCCATCCTGGTCAATGTTAGGAACAGTCACTTTCAGGAAAAAAAAAGTCAAGTCTAACTTGAAGCAACTGCTTCAGAAACAAAAAAAAAAAAGGGGGGGGTTCCTAAACCGCCACCGCTCACCACCCCCCAATAAAATAGACACCAATCTGGCAACACACCATATGCAAGTGGGCACAATGGTCTCAGCCATCCATTTCTAGAGATGGTGAGAAACCGGCTCAGGAGGGAACCCTGCGATTAGAGAAACCCTTCAGCATGGCAGGGCACCTCAGACCAGGACTCTGCAGCCAATCATCTTCCTCCTCAGCGCCGAGAAGATTCTGCCGCAAACTCACTGCATAGACCTGTCCTCCCTGGGTCCGCCTACTTCAATCCCTAACATTCTTCATCCACCTCTGCAGGAAACTCTACTCTGGGGCACAGAGAAGACCCCGGGATTGTGCAGGAAGGGTATTTGTCACCTCCGTGAACACTGCCGTCTCACAGAACGAACGGCTGGAGGATCTCTCTCCAGGCCTGGAACCCTCACTCAGAGGACCCAGAGGGTTGTCTGTGGAGTTCTCTCTCAATAAAGATGCTCGGGCCCTCTCTCCCCTAAACGTCTGAACTTGAGGCCAACTCGGCCCATCCCTTGTAAGGCACCAGCGGAGGGGAAGAGACACAGGAGACTCGTGGGCATGCACGTGATGGGATGGACATCTGATCTAACGTCTAAACACGGAACACATGGCAAAGGCATGAAGGAGAGGGACACGTGACAAGGAGGCACTACAAACAGGGAGGCGTGTTTGGGGGGTGTTGAGATACCTACCATCATAATATTCCAAATTCAAAGACTGCTTGTATCAGAACAAAGAAACAACAAATTTAACCAAAGGTGGTCATTAAAGGAAAGGAAATGAGACAGGAACGAGTCGGCATCCCTCCACCAAGAAGGAAGTACCCTACACCTTCCCTGAAATTACAGATTGGATGGAAACCTGCAGGTGGAACGTGGGTGTTCAATTTGGACTCTTCTAGTTCATTCTGGAAGCAATGCTCTCTCTCAATCTCTCTCTCTCTCTCTCTCTCTCTCTAAACACATACGATATATGTTTGCAATTCTGCAGGCTAGCCACGCTGCAGTACGGGACTGCACAACGCATTGCCCGCACCCCTTCAGCTGGTGCGTGCCGCTCAGTGCCACGCTTCGTTGCAGCACTGTAAAACAATGTCAGCTAACCAGGCTCCTCTGTCCAGAGACATGTGGTTTTTAAACATAAAAGAAAAATGAAACAGAACAGAACCAAAAAACACCTGCCCCAGAGCCCTTCTCCAAGTGTCTTGACTCTCAAGTGCGCGGGGACGGCTCTTGCTGCCAAGTTTTTAGCTCATTCAAACCTTTGGCACCGGTGGCTCTATCTAAGCTCGACACACGCCACGGACCAGGCCCGTCCAGGAGGCTGGCTTGCAAAGCAAACGGGTAAGTGCCCATTCCTGGCCGGGAGAGGGTGTGGTCTCAGTCCTACCACCGGGGATCTGGGTATGTAACTCGTAAGAGCGAGGGGGAAAGAGAGAAAGAGAAAGTGGGGTAAGGATACAGCATAAAATTAGCAAGGAAATTTTGAAGGATGAGGATCATTAGTCATTGATGCTGGTAGGGAAGTAGATGGGAACGAGGTCAAAATATATCGACACACTGAGGTAGCAGAAGGACAGAGTGCTTTGATTTTCCCAAAGGCCTCACAGTGGTCATATACCTGCACGGTTTGCACCATAAAGTCTGTCGGTCAAGCCCGAACAGTGCCCGACACTTCTTTGGAGTATTTGCATCTGTTAGCATAAGGTAAACACAAAAAATACAACACAATGGTGGGTCATGCTCAGTTTGCTGTGAAATCTCAGCTACTGCTGACTCGTCTTCTCTAGGACCTCGGCTCTCTTTGACTGTCTTCCCTCACCAAGGACATGAAAGGAAAGACTTCTATGAGGCAAAAGGAAAAAAAATAAAAACAAAATGATAAAACACGCACCAAAAAACAAAACAAAAAACAAACAAACAAACAAAAAAAATCCAAAAAACAAAAAAACCAAAACCAAAAAAACAACAACCAGAAACCAAAAAACAACAAGGAAAAATAAATTAAAAAATAGAAGAGAGAAGGAGGGGAGAAGGTGACGTTGTTGTTTGCTTCTACCTAGGCCAGGATTACGATGGATGTCACTGAGCCCCATCCTGGGTGGTCATGAGGAAGGGGGTTAGCAGGCAACGTTCCCTGGGAGGGGGCGCGCTGGGGCTGGCTGTCGCTGACCCGAGGAGGCACAAATGATGCTGTTTTACAGTGGCATTTTGGCTAGCAGCAGCGGGGAGAACAAGCACATCCCTCACAGAGCAGTGTCCCGTGCCCTCATGTCTCCTAAGATCCACACACAGAGCTACAAAGCAACAGGCCAGAGAAGGGGGAAAGGACCGAATAGACCAGCTGCAGACCAGCACAGCGAATCTGGGAAATCTATACACACCTGCAAGGGCCGCACCAGTTATTCTGTTGATCAAGGCCAAAGCGCGCTCGGCATTTCTTAGGAGCGCTCAGGTCTGAATGAGTTCAAGAGAGAAGCGAGCAGAGGAGGAGGACGTGGGAGAGAGAGAGGGAGAGAGAGAGAGGGGAGGGGGGGAGAGAAAGATACAAATAAGAAAAAAATAAAAATAAAAAAGGGAATAAATCAATGACCTGGTTACTAATTACAAAATATCGACTTTCGATTTTTAACTTTCTTTAATTAAAAAAAAAAAGGTAAAAAAAAATCACATTCTTATTCAACTGGTGAAATTAGCTGTTGCAAATAAAGCTGCAGTATCCCTTCTTTAAGGACTGTCTCTCCGATTCGTTTTGAGCGGATAAAGGGAAGTCAGATACTGAAAAAACTAAATTTTAAATAGTATTTTTCCTCTTTTGGTTCTGCTTTGCTGTTTCTTTCCTTTTTTTTTCCCCTAGCTCTCTCTCAATTGGTTTTTCTTAAAGAAGAAAATAAAGCGAAGGAGGGAATTAGGTTTGTAACATGCTTTTTCCTTCTCAGAGTACAACAGTTTAAACAAAGGGAAAAAAAACTACAAATAAAAACAGAACAAAATGAAACAAAACAGAAAGAAATAAAGAAAGAAAAGGGGATTGTGGTACTGGGATATTGCAGCTTTTGAAATGTTTTTCTTTCTTTTTTTTAAAACCGATTTTCATGACTACTAACAGGAGAACAGATGAAGGTGAACAGGCAGTGTGAATGAGCGAGTGGGTAAGGGTTAGTCAGAAGCTCATAGCAGCTTTTAAGCAGGTACAGTCAGTAAAATGCTAGTGGATTTGCAAATTAGGAGCAGAAAAGCAAAAGGAAGAAAAAAACTAAAATAAAAAAAAAGCAAAGGAGAAAATAATTATACTGCGTGCGGATGCATGCTTGCGTGAGAAAACTTAGTGGGAGCAACGGAAAATGCCATTAGATTAAGGAGGTTTATTACTGAATTCCTTCCATTTTGGTTGGTTTTGCTTGGTTTTTTGTTTTGTTTTGGCTTTTTTTGTTTGTTTTTTTAACCAGTCTCTTTTAAAGAAATACTGCATATTCAATTTGCACAGTTAGTTCAACACTAAGTCACTGTCATCACTGCTTAAACAACTGTTATGGGAAAAATAAATAAATAAACAAAGCGAAGGTTAAAGTAAATTAAAAAACAAAACAAACAAACAAAAAAAACAAAAACAAAAAAAAAAAACAAAAAAACAAAAAAACCCCAAAAGCAACTGAAAAAAAATCTACCGAAACATACAAAACCGTGTAGATGGTCATTTTAAAGGATGTTCAAATGTCATACGTGTTTAATGTTAATAAAACTATAATGGCAAGAAAAATTAAAAAAAAAACAGTTTATCGACTATTTTAATGACTCAAAATGACATTAGCACCTGTAATCGGAGGAAGTGAAAGGCAAGGATTTAGGAAACATTCGCTGTGTTCTGAAAAAAAAGAACAAATTATACAAAGCCTTCAAAATTTTTGTTGTCGTTTGTAAAAGCCTGGCCTTCTCCAAGGGACCTTCCGGTATTGCCTATGCAGTATTTCTAATTTCTCCTAGAGAATGACAAACCTCCTTAATTTAAATTGGGTGCAATTTACCACTGTAAAGGCATGCATCAGAACATTCAGGAACAGCCCAGTTAATATCAAACACTCGCACACACCCCGCCTACTCCCCCGGCCCCTTCCTCACCCCTACAGACACAGACAAAATAAGCAGACTGCATAAATCCCGCATAGGCATGCCTACCACCCCTCCTGTTCCAGGCTCTGCGGTTATTTAAAAACACATTCCACTAGAATTACAATGTGCTTTTCATGCAACAATGAATGTTACTAGCTTTAAAAGGACAGTTGTGAAGCAATTAATTAAAATGCATACACAAAAAGGCTGGCTAGGATGGGTTCCCCCACAATGTCCTGGCCTTGAATTCCTCCTGCCTCCCCCAGAGAGGAATCTAAGGTTCGAGAGTGGTCCTCAGAGTTCCGCTCCTTCCTCCTTCCTCCAACTTACCATTGGTCTCTCCAGGCTGCTTGTCCCTTTTCCTCTTCTTCTTCTTCCCCTAGATGAATAGAGGAAACACAAGGAATTATTTTAGAAAACAGATGGGAGGAGGGCATCTGGGTCCCCTGGGAAGGAGAAGGCAGGAGGGGGAGCACACCGCTGTCTCTGTCCACACCCATGGCTCCCAGAATGTTTTTGAGCACCCCCCCCATCCAAATGCCCTTTAGTCGTGCTCCAGCTGGAGGGACACACGCTCAGCAAGGGGAAGAGAAGGGGTTAGCGGAGGGTGAAGGAAAGACCTCTTTTCCCACACACCTCTGTCCATCCTCAAACCCGACCCAGAGCATCTGATTCCATAAAGGGAAGAAGAGAGCTGATGAAGGAAGATTTAGGGAGGTGTGGAGAGACAGGGTTGGGGGTGGACCATGAGCTCAAAGACAAGCATCAAATGACTGTGGAGATGGCCATGTGGACTAAGAAAATCACCCCCCACCCCCTACCCTTGTTCCACACAAATCTCCTTTTTAAGGACAAAGGTCCTTCTACTCAATTAAAAACCAAAAGCTTTAACTGGGGCTATACTAGTAACAACAGCTAACGTTTATTGAGCACATACTATGCACCAGGCCTGATTCTAAGTACGCTATCCACACTGACTCGTTTTTCCCTCACACAATCCTATACAACAGGGACTATCACCATTCTAATTCTACAGAGAAGGAAACTCAGTCACAGAGGGTTTGTTAGCTGAGATCACACAGTTAGCAAAATGCTGGGGCCAGGATGGGAACTCAGAAGGTGTTGGTTCCCCAGCCCTTACCTACTAGGCTGTGCTGCCTGCGTATTTAACCCCTTGCTCTCTGTGGAAGGTTTTTAATTGATTACAGGAGATGGATCGCATAAGGTCATTGACACTCTCCAACCTGTATCTGTACTGTCTGCTCGTGGTTGAGGATGTGGCATGGGAACAGGGCTGAGCTCTGTAGAGCTGACTGCATCCCCACAGATCTGAAACTAGTTCTCAGCTCGTCAGGGCCGATCCCATCCTTCTGGGTCAGATGGTGGGTACATATGCAATATCACAAATGAAAAGGACTGGCCTACACGTCTGTTGCTGAACATCTAAATATTGTCGCTGCCTAAAGTTCTCATGGTATGTGGACATCAACTCAGGAGGGAAAAACAAGAATGACAGGTGGTCAACTTGACAACCCCTAAGGCCCTGTAAAGATGAGAACCTCATGGTGGAGATGCCACGGTTTTAGCTCCAACCAAGGGCTCAAAAAAAGTCCCTCTTTCCTCTCAGAACTTGGGCCCATACCATTTGGGAAGTTTGTCTTGGCCTTGAGTTTGAAACTTTGAGAGACATATTCTACTCCTTGATAAACAATTTAAAGATTATTTGAGTGCGTGTGTGCCCACACGTGTGTGAGCAGGGGGAGGGGAAGAGGGAGACGGAATCTTCAGCAGGCTCACCCAACACGGGGCTCGATCTCACAGCCCTGAGATCATGCTCTGAGCCGAAACCAAGAGTCAGAAGCTTAACTGACTGAGGCACCCGAGCGTGCCCTTGATAGACAATGTAAAAATAAAATAAAAGGCGTTCATGGGGCCCTCCCCTGAGCCTCGACAGCCTGTCTTCATGTCTGCGCCTCTCCTGGGGAGCAGTGACGTGCTGCCTGGCCATCTAGGAAAAGGCAGGAAGGGCTAGTTTCAGTTTATTTAGGAGCCTGAGTGAACACCCAGCGGGGCCCCCAAAACCGTGGTGACTCTGGGCAGTGTTGGCATCCACACAGCCAGCGGGTTCTCAGTCACCTCTGCCTTAATACAGTGCCCGCCCGTCTCCCATCTCCCTCCGTATGTGCTGAAAGGCGGCTGAAAGTTCCAGGCCCCGTGGGAAGCTGTCGGTTTAGGGTACATAGTTGAGGTGACTGAGGATAGGCTCGTTTAAACTGAGGGCTTCTAGAGGACAGGGTCTGTGTTTTAATCAGAAGAGGACAAGAAGAGCTTAATAAACACGATTTAGTGATGAGGGACACATGTCTCAAGGGGGGCAGCCACCCCGTTCTCTTCTTAGATGTAACAAAAGAAAAAGCCCAAATATGGTGGTGGGGGGTGGGGAATTCGAGATAAGCAATGGCTGAGGATTTGTGTCCTTTATGTAATCTGGAAGAGCTAGAAAAGCAACAATGTTCTAATACAATGCCAGGGGCCAGAGAGCACTATGGGACCAAACTCTTTTCTCTTGTGCCCCCAGAAGATGTCAAGTCCAACAACTCAAATGTGACTGTTCTATTTTACTAAGGTTTCCATTGCCCCTTGACTGGAAAAGCAGGAACATGAAAGAGGCATGAAGTTCGCTCAGAAAACTTTTCCCAGAAGAATCTTTTGGACTTTACAACAACCACAGTAATGTACAGGAACTCCTATGTCGAGTCAGCTAAGAAAAAAACCCAAACCTGATAGGTTGCACCACAATCAAACCCATAAGACCTTGAACTCTGACCCTTGTTCCACAGACCGTTTTCTGGGGCACAAAAGGGAGGGAAGATGGAAGGGCAGAGTGCGTGTGTGTGTTCACGCTCATGTGTAAGGAGCCATGGTGATAGGAGTCAGACAGTACCCTGTATGAGGGATAAAGCTCCTTCAGTCCTACATCTAGATCTACCTCTAATCTTTCTCTCAAGTCTTGTCAGAGGCTCCCCTAATTATACTGAGCTTCTTCTGAATGTGAAGCTGAGCTGAAGTCACTTTAAGTGTCTCGTGGACCTTCTAAAACCTAGAAAGCACTTCACAGAAAGCCCAGGGCAATGCCTGTCTAACTGACTCCTGGGCAAGTCAGTGGCAGCATTCTTTTGAAGCTAACAGGAAGGTGGCCTTTGCGTACCTTTGTGAAGATCTCCCCCTGCACAACTCCAGAGGGCACCATGCACATAGGCCATAATGTAAATGGCACTCCCTAGAGTTGTGCAGTGCACATCCTGCAAAGCTGTACACGAAGGCCCTACCATGACCCCAAGTGTCTGTTGGGGATACGATATCTATAGGGGAGCAGAATTCCTCTCTGTGGTACCATTCTAGATCACTCAGACTTAGGTCTGTAGCAGGTAGAAGGTGGAGGTAAACTCTAAGAGCTTCTGACCCGAAACCAGGAGAAGAGTGTCCTGAAACGAGATGGCTGTGCATGTGGAGGCCACAGAGCTGGCCTGCTGCTGGAAATCTCCACCTTGAGGTCAGGTGGGGGTAAGCGGCAAGCCTGTGGGAGAGCATTCACTTTCTCATCCTCTTCCTTTCCATTCCAGAAGAAAGGCTTCCCCAAGTACACATGCTGAGGGCGAATGGAAAGGTCCCAAGCAGCTACGACCCAGTGCATGACCATCTGTGAGTGACAAGGGCCCTGAGCACAGCAAACACTCCAGTGAGAGATACCGGCACTAATTCCCATTTCAACTCCCAGGAGGAACAGAGCCTCGTGCTACCAGCCAAGGCCACTGAGACCCAAAGGGCGGCGGCTGGGGGCAGTGATGAAGACGTGGGGGTGAAGCCCAGTGGTCTGTGTTCTCTGTACCCCCTCTTCTCTGCACAGGGAAGAGCAGACTAGCAAGCACAGGTTGACAGGTATGGGAAACCGTGAGAACGAGCAGAAGACGGCATCTGCTCGGGACCCACAGGTTCCCACCCATGTCTATGGCTTCTTGATGGCAGATTAGTTTTGAGAGTCAACATATTTGATTTAACTCTGAGTACCCCTAATACCGTGTGGGCACACTTGCAACCAGCACTAACTGAACTGATCTCAACCCACGGACAGAGAGAGGTGTTCACCACAGACGTCCACAGGAGAGCTAGGTCAGGGGTGTGCGCGGGAGAAAGACCCCGCCACGGCTCCACGCCACTGACCAGATATGGGAGGAGAAGCCCACTGCTGATGTCAAGGCAAGCTTTGCCTTCACCACCCTAGAGAGTAAATGGTTAAGAATCACTTTATAACACCAAATGCCTTGGAATAAAAGTATCAGGTGGAAATAAGAGACATGCCATCCACTGAGAGGAGAGCCAGCCAGAAGGACGTTGGACAAAATGCAGAACAAGAAATAACAGGGAGAGGAGAGCAAGGCCAGGAGAGGACAGCAATCCTGGGTGTCACGACTGCTGTGATTAGTGAAAGCAACAATCCCACCGTGTCTCCTAAAACCCCAGGGAGGAAATTAGGCAAATCCTGCAGTCAACACAGAGCCCTAGAAGACACCTCACATGGCATAGACCCTTTCCCGACCCTCCAGGGGACCTGAGGCATTTCCCGCGCCCCACCAGAGGAAGACTACCGCCGGCTGCTCGCAGGGTCCTCCCACCGTGCCCCTCTCAGGAGGAACTAGATTTCCAACTTGTCCTGCACCACAGCGCAGGGCAATTGGTCCTTTTCTCCCTCGTAAGGGCCAAGGCCCTGCTGGAAGGCCTGGGAGGAATTAAACTCACTCCACCTCTACCCAAGGCCTTCCCTGTCAGGCCCCATGAACCCTTGCTGAGAAGCACAGAAGTCCCCTGAGGCACATCCCAGAGCCAGGTCTTTACGAAGACCTGGGCAAGAAGGTGTGCACAGCCCCAAGTCAACCCCATGGTTCCAAGCTGGAACAACAGAACATGGCCCTCCTCCCTCCTCCTTGAAGAACTCTGGCCTGCTGACGGAGCTGTACTGGAAGCCAGGACGCTCCTGGTCCCGGGAGTGCGCAGAATGTACGGTTCTGAGACCTGATTTAAGATGGCAGGTAGCACTCCCTTTGGGCAGAGGAATCCCCCCAACATGTCTTTACAGACTCGGGTTCTGAGAAAAACGAACACCTACATAGTTGTCCCGCGCAGACCAGCCGGGGTACAGCTGCATGTGAAGCTGTCGCTCCTTCCGGGCCAGCTCGTAGTACTTTGCTTGCTCTTCTCTGGACAGTGCGTGCCACTGGAGGGGACACAGAGGCGGGAGAGGCAGACAAAACATCACAAACTACCCTGTGGCTGGGGCTAAAAGGCGGGTCGGCTCTGCAGGATCCTGGCTCGCCCAGGAGTGCTCAGACAAAACCTCATCTGTCAGCTCCCTCACTTTGGGGAAGATGGCGGTGGGTGTAGAGAAGGTCGTTCTGGTCACACTCCCATCAAGGCCACTGAAGAAGTCAGCATGTGACTGAAGGGACAGGGCTACCGTGCCATGCCACCCACTGTGCCCTGGTCCATCCATCCCCTTCGACCTACCCTTCGCCCCAGGATCTGGTTGATGGCCGCACTTTCTTTCAACGTGCACTCCGCCACGACCTTTGCCCTCATTTCCTTCATATACAACATGAACGCATTAAGAGGTTTCTTTATGTGGGGCTTCTTCTTTTCTTCTTCCTTTTTGGAGTCCTGATGCTTTCTGGATATAGGCAGAACAGACAAACACAACCCCATAAACAATGACAAGGTCCCACTTCCCCAGAGAACCCAGCTCCCCCGGTGGCTCAACACCCAAACCTAGCAGTTCTGAACGAGAAGCACGCTTCCACTATGGGTCTTCTCCAGCCTGGAAAACGGAACAAAAACATCCCAGAAGGTGTGTGGGGGAAGACAAAGATTTCACGATCACTTCCTCGAGTGTCCCAGGCACACTGTTTTCCTAAGCCGGGGGGTGGGGGGGGAAGCACAGCGTGGCCAGTATCCCCTGGGCTGGTGCCTCTCGTGCTCGCAGGACAGGCCTCCAAACGTTCAGTAATGGATGAGTGGCGGGGACACGGGTGCAAATCTGAGCCTGTCTGAGGACACAGGTACACCCGAGGCACACGTACCATGGCCAGCCACAGGCATCAACAATAGGCTAGAGAAGATGGGGAAGGAGAAAGCGACCGAAAGAGCAACACTCACGAGCTGTGGAGTGAGCCGACGTCACTCTGGGAGGATTCCTGTTTGACTGTTGGCGTGACTATGGCCGGGTGGGGGATGCCGGTCGTATGTAGAGTGTGATGTGGTGGGACCATATGGGGAGGGAACCTGGAAGACAGGAAGCTGTGTAAATCGTCAGAATCAAAATGAATGAATGGGGAGGGATGTGTACACACAATTTAAAAAAAAAAAAAAAAAAAAAAAACACAAAAAACCCAGCACGTAACACTCACATGAAAGCAACCCAAGGCATATGAAACCTGTCAGCATTAATTAGTGATAAATTAAACATAATGATTCTCATAATGTCATTAAAGCCAATCTTCCCCTTCATTATTGCTACTGACAAGAGACATTATGATTTTTAACATCTTTAGCAAAAGACAAATACAACGGATGTACTTGGGCGGAAAAGTAGGCTCGGACTACCTGCTGGAAATCACACGTCCACTTGTTTTTTGAGGCATTATTAGTGGCATCTAAGAAGACAATTTCCTAAGTTCTAATCAGCTCTAGAATGAAAGGTGAAATCTATTGTTGCATATTGACAGCTGAATAAAATATTAACGTGGCTGAAGTACACATTTTTGACAATGCCGTGCATGCCTCATTAAGCCAAATTCTGCTGATAGAGTACAATAAAATTTTTCTTTTTCTTTTGCTGGTGTGCCCCATCGTTTTGACAAGAATGAGAGAAAGTGAGGCAGGAAGATGGGGAAAATCCAAATACTTCCTATCTGGTTCTCTTCATAAGTCACAGATATTTTACATAAGCTTATGCCCACTTATGGAAAGATGGAAAAAAAAAAAAGGTGTATTTTATACACACACACATAAATGGAGCTTTGAATTCGGATGCGTATACCCTCTCCTGCTCTGTAATTCTAGTATTCCTAAATTACGTTACTTAATAGGCTGCCTATGCCTTCAAAGGCCTTCTAAATGATTATCCAAGTGGTAACTCTATGAGTAAAGGTTGTTTTCTCCTCTAATACAGTCCATTTTTAAGGAAGTTCTTTGAAACCCCCTTTAGGCCCTGAATTAGCATTTCTCTACCATGAAAACTCACCAGAACATAAAGAGCTAGTTTTAAAATGCTCATCTTGGCCCACATGTGGAGTGACAACGGGATCAGACAAACAGCTTTCATGTTTTCTGATATGCTTGGAGTCGCCATGAGTTGTACTGGGTTAGAAGAATCACCCTTCTTAAGAGAACACATAGCACTGTAGAGAATAGTAGGGTGAGGGGCAAAAAGGGTAGAACCCCGAGAGAAACAAAATGGCGGCATCTAGGCTCCAACCTGTCCAGGTTAGGCAAGTGAGCAGGTGGGCGCTGTTTGGGGAAAGGAGAACCAGATCAAGCAGTTGATGCTTTCTTCTTCTTCTTCTTCTTTTTTTTTTTTTTAAGATTTAATTTATTTATTTGACAGAGAGAGATCACAAGTAGGCAGAGAGGCAGGCAGAGAGAGAGGAGAAAGCAGGATCCCTGCTGAGCAGAGAGCCTGATGCGGGGCTCGATCCCAGGACCCTGGGATCATGACCTGAGCTGAAGGCAGAGGCTTTAACCCACTGAGCCACCCAGGTGCCCCCAGTTGATGCTTTCTTAATAAATCCAAACCAGAACAGTCCCACAGAGCATCCAGAGAATGAAGACCTGCTCTCTAGGCAGCCAATTCTGGTGGGCACTGGGAATGCTAGTAAAAGCTTACTGAGAGGGTGACTTCAAGAGGACCCTGCATTTATAAGGTTCTTTTCCTATGTGGACTGGAGATGAAAAGATTTTCCATTTCACCCAAATAATGTAGCAAATGTGAACTTGAAAATGGTTAAAAAAAAAAAACAAAAAACTAACCGAATCTGTGTAGATCAACGGAGAAAATACCAATGCACAAGACAGATTTCTAAAGGGGCCCGGACTCAGAGTGGACATTTGACTCAGAAATTCCATCCTGATATGGCCCTATCCTGCCACTGCCTTTTACAAATTAAAGCCAGTATCAAAGTTTGGTAACAATGACATGATTTTTTAGTAAGAACCATGTAAATCCTTTAGGGTATATGAGAGGAAGGATGGAAAGAAAAGAGGGAGGGAGGGAAAGAGTCTAAGAGAAAAAGAGAAAGAAAAAAACAAACAACCTCCATTCCCTTTCCCTGAGAAAATGAAAAGCAAACCCTCGGAAGGCACTTGGGCTCCCATGTTACTCCCTGCTCCTTCCCAGTGCATGAGGGCCTCTGAGGAAACATAAGTTAAGAACATGTGTTCTTGGAAGCCCTTGGGTGAAGCGGTCAGTGGAGTGGCAGCTTTTACTGTGAATTTTAAAGGCTTGACATTCCTGAAATACATATGTTCTCTTCTTGCTGAATGAGAATATGTGTACAGACATGAGAGAGAGAGAGAGAGAGAAGGGGGGAGGTGGGGACGACAGAGAGGGACAGAAGGGGGGAGGGGGAGAGACAGAGAAACACTGTGTGTGTATGGTGTAGGTAGTAGGTGTGTGGGGGTGGGGTGTGGGGACACACACACACACACACACACACACACACCCCCCAAACACCACAGGCAGATACTACAGTTCCAGCACATTTTGGGGTGGGGGCCAAATTTCTGGTGCAGGCCACGGGGAACGAACACTTCCAAGTTCACACGCCTACACACATACTCATCTGTCTGACAAACGTATAGCAGAAAAAGAACCGGGGCGTTGGGCGTCGGGGGGGGTGGGTGGCGGGGGCGGGCACAGGCACACCTTTGCTCAAGAAATTCCTTTCTGCGGACAACTATTTCATGAAATGCGATAAACACCCTAAAAATTCTAAGCAGCTCATTATATACCCCCGTCTGCTTTTATGGCTCCGAGCCAGAATATAATGATGAACCTTAACTTGTTAAGGACAACTAATTTTTGTTTCTGGCTGTCTCAGGGGTTCCTCTCTTGCTCACTCTCACTTTACTTCACTGTTGACACGTTTCTGTTAACTGGATGTCATCCGGAGGCCTTGATTTCCTGCACAAGCAGTGGGATGCATTTTCCTCGTGCAACAGTCCTGCTCGGAGTTGCATTACGTTTGTCATTATTCCCTCATTTCCCCTTGCGCTGCTAACATTTCATCTCTTCCTGCCTTATTTTTTGTGAGCCACGGTGCACCCACATTATGGTTTATACATGATCTCGCTCCCTTTGAAGCCGGCAGATTTCAGAGCCCACTCTCGTCAGGAGAAGAGCCTTGCACCAATTTAGCAGGCTGAGGGCCCGGAGCTCCAACATCTCAATCTAAAGGGGGTCACAGGGTGGCACAAGTGAGTGTCAGCAAGAGCTGTTTAATTGCCAATCTAGGCTTCTCCATGGTGTTTAAAGTATAATGACCCATCACTTAATTCTGAGAAGTCCTGGCCCCGGCCTGCTGAATAGAATGAATATCAAAGGGTGTTCTGGAACAGGGCAAGCTGCCTACATTTCCTATAACTGCCATAGTATAATAGCCCCATACTTCTGTCGCCCCATTACCACAATAATGTATTTAATTTGCTGTATACGCTTTTTAACTAGCTACCTTTCATAAGGCCTACCTGGGGAATCGGCGGCCTCCCCCCTGCACCCTGAGCCCCTAACCTTTCCTCCCACTGTTTCCTTCCTTTCCACCACCCCTTTGCCCACCTCTAAATCATCGGCTAACCTCCGAATGATAATTCAATCGATAAGCTTAACCCCAATCCCTATCCGACAATTCCTTCACTGCTTTTAACCTCTCAAAGGCACCAAATAAACAAACACAAACAACAATCAGGGGTATGATAAATGCCGGTTTGCAGGGAAGACGAGCTGTGGATTAGGAGCTGCTCTCGGAAGCAGCTCTCGTCCTGGGAGACTCCCAATTCGTTCCCATGCTTTGCAAGGTGGTGATGACATTATTTAATGAATGTAACCTTCCTCTTTTCACTGGAGAAGAGGATGCAAAGGCATTTTCCCGCCTAACCCATATCGGTGTGGATTCTGAAACCGAGATCCTTTACCCCATGTAGAGACTGGATCTTTAAAATTACGGGATCTCTATGGTATAATTACAAATGGGAGGTACACCACAGCCTGTTTTCCTTCATGAATGTGATTCTTACTCTTTCCCCCACCAGCATTACTGTCTTGTAAGCAGGAAAAGGGGCTGGCTTGTCCTGTCTCTCCAACCCTCCCTCTGGTCTTGGGTTCCCATATAGACCATGGAGATTGGGGGAAGATGCTAGGGGCAGCATCCTTGCCATGTAATGCGTGCTGATTTAATTATGGGTCATCATCAAAATGGATTACTTGTTGTAGCCCATCAGGAAAGTCTAAACCTCCACCGATTTAATTAACTTGACTGAAAATCAGATGAACAGAAAATAAAACTATCATTAGGAGCGATTAGTGCTACTTAAGCCTACTGCTGCCAACCGGTTTGTAAATAAACTGGCGCTCATTGAAAAATTAGCCAGAATTAATTAGAGGGAGGAAAAGGAGAACAGGGGATTAGAAAGCTCCAGGTACACCCAAGCGGGTATACCTGTGTGTGCGTATTACACACATATTCATGTGCTTAGAGATACATGGATGCATACGCACACACCACTTTTTTTTTTTTTAAAGGAAGAAGTCACCATTTTTATCCAAATAAACACAGCAAAATATTTCATACGAAGTAGAAGTCAGTGCGGAGCTTGTGACCCAAAATATTTAAATTAGAAGTTGAAGATGCTCCCCTATTAAGGAAAGTAAACATCATTCTGTCCTTTGTCTGGGTGTAGGAATTCTTTGCTGGTTATTTGATGGGTTCTTTTCAAATTCTTGTTCTGCACACACATGATTTTTTTTTTTTTTTTTTTTAAAGCTTTCCAAGACTTAGAGCTACACAGGCCAGTGTGGTAGTCACCAGACACACGTGGCTTTTGAGTACTTCAAATGTGGCCGGTCCGAATTGAGATGAACTGTTAAGTGTAAAATACATACCAGATTAAAAAAAAAAGTACAAAACAGAATGTAAAATCTCATTAACAGTTGCTTTACAGTGCTAAATGTCAAAATGAGAATATTTTGACAATAGGTTGACTAAAACAGATCCTTAAAAAGAATTTCACCTGGGTCTCCCTCCCTGATATTGAACCTCTTTAAAACCGTGGCTAATAAACAATTTAAAATTCCATATGGGGCTCCCTCCCCCCTTTTTTTAAAAGATTTTATTTATTTGACAGAGAGAGACACAGCGAGAGAGGGAACACAAGCAGGAGGAGTGAGCGAGGGAGAAGCAGGCTTCCCGCCGAGCAGGGAGGGGGCTCCCCTTCTAATTCTTTGGGTTAGTACTACTTTCCAGAGGTGTGTGTTGGGACATGGGTGTCCCTTCTTGTTGACAGTAAAGAATCTAATTTTGAAAAGACCACACCCTTCCTCAAACTCTCCTTTACGTAATATTAAAATGACTTCCACCCTTTCCGTTCTTACCCAGTACAGGGCAACAGAGAAATAACATTTTAAAAAGTTCTATATGTCCTAACTACTTTTTCCCACCTTCTTAAGTCTTTAAAAAAAAAAAAAATACTGCTCAATACATCGATTCCCAGTTCAACCTCGAAACTTTGACATCACCTATCTTAGAAGTTCAGGTTAATTTTTTTAGTGTTTTCTAGGAGTAAAGCCCAATGCCCTATTGGTCTTAGACCATTAGGATAACTTGAAGAAGCGGCCGCTGGATGGCCTGGAAACCATCTAGAGCACTTCCTGAGAAGTCCCCCATGGCTGACTTGGTTGGAGGCCCCCATTTTGGAACTCACCTGGACATGGAAGCATTGACAGTCAGAGCTGTGGGGTAGGGGTGACGGAATCCTCCTGTCGTGATTGGGTACACTGGCTGACCCTGCCTAAAAAGAGGGGGGGTACAAAGTAAGAGAGTGCAAACAAGGGTGGGGGTGGGGGAAAGAAAAAGAAGAAAAAGGGAAAGTTCTCTCTGCACAGTAAGCTTTATTCTCATTTGATCAGAACAAAAATCTTGGGGATTGTACAGGAAGGATCAAAGGGAAGAAACACAGAACAATTTGAATGCCATAAATCTGATAGGAATGGCTAATTAAATTTTATAACCTCTGCTTATGTCAATAGAGACCCTCTCCCCAAGCTGAAACTAGGTGTTTTGTTGTAATAATTAAAGGCGAAGTCTCGCTTGCTTTAATGGAGCCATCACACTAATTGAGGGCTACACATCCAAAGGAAAACAATAATGAATGTAAATTTATACCAAAATAAAGTGCAGTGAATCAAAGGACTTCAGTTACGCTTTGGGCCTCTTTCGGTATTTAGATCTCGGTGAGAAAACATTAAATTAACAGAGCTTAATTTGTAGCCTTTTGTCAAATTAACAAGTGTTGACAAGAGTTACCGGGGGGGAGAGTCCCCAAGAAGAATTGTGGGTAACCAATAGACAATCACACCTCATTACAATAATTAAAAAATACAGCAACATGCAAAATAGCATCCTCATGAAAGACACACAACTTTTCCTGACAGAGCGTTGTCTGAGTTGGCTACTCCTTTTTATCTAGCTTTCAAATATCTGCCCATCAGCTGAACGGGGCAAGGGATGACAGAGAACTAGTCCAGGAATATGGCCCCATTTTCTGAGGAAGGAATGGGATACAAGCTCACATCCGTGTCTACCCTCCCCAACAAAATGAAGGAGAAAAAAAAAATCAACAGAAAGTACACCCACGGTCAGCATTTTGTACAGCTGTTTTTCACAGAACAGGATAGAGTGTGTTCAACTAGAGAAACACTGGGCAAACTATTCCAGACTGTATCTTCTATAAGGCTACTACAGGGGGTCTTCCCTAAAACCCAAACTTCGGAGTTTAACCCAGGACATATTTCTGTTAAGACAACAAATTGTCCTTGTTTTTTAGAGTAGCGATCACGGATACACATGGAGAAATACATACACAAGAATGCAATCACAAAACAGATATTACATGCATACACACACACACACACACACACACACACACACACACACTCACTCGCGCATGGTATGCTTATGCAGTAAAGGCCTTTCTACTCTGGCTCGTAAATACACATTTTTCAAGTCGTCTTAAGAAAGGTTAATGGATGGTACTATAAAAGCAAGACTGGGTGATAGGAAGACAAATAGTAAAAGGCGATTCGATGCCCTGTGTACTGCCAGGAACCTTGGCTGACACTCAGGAAGGCTCCATGTGCCGCAGGAGGGATTTCCAGAGCCCCACCCCCGCCACTCACAATCAGGTGAACTAAGAATCTCAGAGAGATGCTGGCTGCATACCGTCTGTCCCAACAGGCAGCCCTTTCCACTCTTGTTGCCAGCCTTGGGAGCAACGGTCAGGATGGGGCGAGGGGTTAGGGGCTTCTGAGGGAAACCCCCCCCCACCCCACTCTCACCCTGTGTTTCAAAATGACATTATGCCTGTTGCCACTCCCATGCTGCCTCAAACCAACAACAGGCCTCCAGGCTGGGCTGCCACCAGCAGAAGAGCCATGACCAGCTTTCTCTGACAGAAGCCCTGAGAGCCTCTGCCATTCCCGAAGTATCTGAAGGACACCCTTGTTCACAGAGAGAAACCCAGAGTCTTTGGGGACTGTGGGTTCAGAATGCTAAGTATCAACAACGTTTCTCCTATATGGCCCATCCGAAGGGCTACTGACTCGCCAGCTTCCCCACGGGGCACCTCGTGGAGCATCTTCCCCAAGTACCCCCTCCACCCTCCCCCACCAACCCTGTCTTCCGAAACTCACACACATGCACACACACGCACGCGTGTGCACACACACGCACAGGATAAATAATAAGCATGCCCATGTAAGAAACAAAAAGGGAATTAAAAAATGGAACTCCTTACTGTGGTACTAACCATCCTAGCGGATGGGGGATTTGTCCTACGGTGCCAGGCGATAGCGGGTAATATGGAGATATATCTGGAGGGTGCGGAGGCCGTGGGATTCCTGGGAGAAGAAGCAGCATTTCGGTTACAAAGGAGGAGAGAAGGACAGAGAAACTGCCAAGGGATGGGGACAGGGAAAGGAGGATAGAGACTTCTCATCTATGAGCAGAGCTAGCATGAGATTCTTTCCATGACTGTGGTCGTTAAGAGTTATGGGTAGGTTTTGTTCATCATCTCTCCCTGTTCTACCTTGACAAAACGGTTTATCTCCTTCTAGATGGATGGGTACACGGGGTAGATGCAGACCCCGAAAATACTGTCTTGGGTATTTCTGCCTTATGGGATCAGTGTGATTACTGAGATTAAAGAAAAATCTGAAGGGCTTGGCACACAGTAGGTGATCGAGTCATGTAAATGCTCTTTGCCCTCCCAACTTGGGCCTCTACTCCTTTTAATTCCAATGCACCAGAGTCCCCTTTTTTAAGTTTCTAACAATGCCTTTCCAGTTATGGCTTTTGGAAGGGTGACTCTTGCCTTCTTTCAAAAAAGGTAGCTCTTCTAGAATGTCTCCACCTCAGCTGAGAGGAGGAACTGTGGCAGAAGCTCACCAGGAGCCCTGGCCTCTTCTCCAGGGTAGGATCTGAACTGAGCAGACCAGCGGACTCAGGTCTAGAACCTACTTCTCTGGAGGCAGCCAGCTGGGAGAACCAGCCCTAGCCACGGACCAGGTACACATGACACATGACACGTGACATAGCTGAGCACATCCTAAAGGCCCAAGTGACTGCACACTTACTCCACAGGCTCCTGCCCTCAATCCTGAGCAAAGCAAGAGTGCTGGAAGCAATTCTGACACAGAGGGACTGATCGAAGCAGCTGAACTGGGAAGAAAATGAACAATACTACAGAATTAACGCAGTATTGGAGGTAATGAGCTGCGTGTCTGCGGATGAAAACTATTCCATTTTTTTTAATTCATTCAGGAAGCTTTTAATCTGTAAGCTAAGTCTCCCTGGGTGACATTTTCATGCAGACATGGCTTTCTCTCTATTACAAAAACCAAACAGATTAGCTGGTCTTGGACCCTACACCAAGCCATTTGCGCACTTGAAAGAATGTTCGCAGAGGAAAAGTAAACAGTCTGCAGACGTTAATCATATGTTTTACGATAACCATTTAAAAGCTATTCCCTGTACTACCATTATTTAAATGAGACGTTGATGCTGCCATTCACTCGCAGAGCCTGGGGCCGGCTGGCGGCCTCCTCCAGCCATCCAAGCACCAGGCTGGGTCCCCCACGAGCACAAAGGGGGCTCAGAGGCTGGTGAAAACCAGCTAATGTGTGGTTTCATTCAGAGGCAGTGAAGTCTGCATGAACAGGCCATCTACCTCAGCTCGACACCAAACAATCCCGTCTGACAAAGTGACATGGATAGCCATTTAACATTTGTCCTTCTAATGAACTAGCTGGTTGGAGAAACCCCGGGCAGTGTACCACCCGGCCTGGCCTGGCCTCAGCTCTTCTCCCATGACCATCCCACTAGGAGCTGCGGCCGGTTGCTGGTTGTTACAGGAGGGTCACAAGGAACCCTGCCTTCTCTTTCCCTCTTTGAGGAAAAAAGCAGTTGATGAGCACATGGGATGGAAGGGAGGGTAAAGTGTAAAGGCTGAAGGGTTACGTGGCACCTTCCGCCCGAGACCCTACTGGTTGTTCCACGATGAACTTGGTTTTCACATCTGTATAATGGGCTTGGTGATACTGCAGAAGAGGAACCCAAATAAATCAGCAATGACGATGCGGGACCCAGTGACGTTGCACCACACCGTCATCATCAAGTGACTAGAGTCCCTCAGCTGCTAAATGAACCAGGGCTTTGGGGGGCCATGCTGGTGGGGTTCCTCTATTCCCAAGCTGCTGAGAAGGAGACCACGAGATACCTACTCCTCATGGACGCCTACAAGAAGCTACTCCTGAAAAACAGTGTGGGATTCATAGCCAGACCTTCCAGTGTGTATGCGGAGCTCTAGAAAGATCGTTGGTGCTACACATGGGCTTCTTTTAAGGACGGGGGAAGCTACTCCCTCACCGGGCTCTGGCCTCCCCAAAGTACTTTCTTCTCAACACCCAGGAGAGGAACAGGAGCCCCTCCACAGTGCCCACAGCCCGTCCCAAATCCCAGCAGGTCAGGTGGCCCCAGACCCAGCACATGCGCTTGGCACCAAACGCTCGGCCTACCTGTTTTGGGGTCAACGTCAGCGGGCAAGTGTGGAGGTGGGTTTCCCGGGGTGAAGTGCTCATTGCTGTACGTGATGAGCGGCGTGAGGGGGTGAACATGGTGAGGGTGCTGCACGACCGGCACTTTGTTCGACTGTGGGAGGGAAAGAAACAGAGAAGGACACCATCAGCCTGAGACTTCCCAACACGGGCCCCAGGTGCTCCCGGGCCATGCCCTCCCTCCCGGATTCTGGAAGATGCGCTCAATCCCGCCCGCAACCCTGGCCCTGATCCATGTATTAAAAATAACAGGTATTTGTAAAGCCTGCTCTCTGGGTGGGCACGCTTCCGTTTTTACCTCCCTACGGAGCCTAGCTGTAAAAAGTGCCTCCTCCACCACCATCCCATCAGACCCTGACTCTGCACTTTCCCAGCCATCAGATAAATCTGACGTGGGGACTTAATTTACTGGGGGCTGTGGGGTGGTCTCTGACCCCAGAGCCCCAGCGGAGGGACGTTCAGGAGGCAAGCAGGCTTCCCAGAGAACAGGCTAGGGACACCTTCCCTTACAAGAAACCAGGCAGGGCCCAAGTCCCACCCACATAGCCTCCCTATCCACCACCTCCCGCTCCTAAGGGCTCCCTGCCCCGGGAACCAGCCAGCCTGCTACAGTTCTTTACAGATAACACGGATGAAAAGCTCCATTCCTGGTCTGGTTGGGAGTGTGAACTTTACCAGAAAGCCCTAGACGGCCAGGCAAGCACCTGCATATTTTATGCAGATTACAGCAGCCCTGATTCATTAGGAATTTCATTAGCAAGTCATGGGGGAATGCTAATAAATTAACTGGATGATGATAAATTGGGCTAATAAAAGGGGTGCCGTTTAGAAACGGGCAGTTCCAGCAAACAAAGTACAAGCATTTTTATGTTCAGGAAGGGTGGATAGGTAGAAGGAGCAGGGGGAAAAAAAAAAAGAAAAGAAGCATTTTAAAGCTTTTTTTAGTTGCCAGGACCAGACCTTCCCAAATTCTTGTCCTCTTCTCCACCCCTGCTCCCGCTCTCAGGCTGCCCCACCCCTCCACTGTGCTGTGCTGTAACTTAGCCCAGCGGACCACAAAGGAAAAATGAAGCTGAAGCAAGTGAACTACTGGGCCATTTGCTGAGAGTAATCCAATTGCAAAAAAACCCTATTCCCCATAGAGGATTTTCACTAAAATCCTACAACAGGGACATTTAACCAGATTAGGTACCAGCGAAGATAAAGAGGCCAGTATTAGATGATGAATGGATTAGAGTCAAGTTTCATTTCAGAACGTGTCTTCATTTCCTTTTATTACTTTTAGGAAGGCACAACTTGCATTAACATCAAGGAAAAGGAATTGCATTACAAGGAAAGAAGTGAGGTTTCAGTGCTGCCCACTAGTGCCTCTCGAGTTCAGGGACCACCGAGCACTTAGTTTGCTTTGCGTTTTTCTTCGTGTCCTTTTTTTTTTTTTTTTTTTTTTTTTTAAATGAATAAGGAAGGGGTATAATACGCAAAGAGTATTTCTCACCCCAGTCAATTGTGGGGAAGGCATCTCTAAAAGGGGCTTCGAACTTGCATGAGCATGTTCGGAACATAAAATATGGACTTCCTCCTCCATATGCTCCAGAAATGACTACAGAGAAAGAAGTCAACACTTGCAACAGCCTGGTTTAACGATTCTCATAAACAACTGGATGCTTCCAGAGGGGCAAGTAGTGGCCCAAAGAGCCTCATGCTATGAATTACCGGTTTGCAATCAAAGCACTGAAATGCAAAGGCCCAAAGCAGAGGGAGCTTTGGTCACACATCCCTAGCAGCCCTGAAGGTCTGGACAAGGCCAATTCCAGCAGAGTGAAGGGCTACTGCCTCAAGGCCATGGCCAACTGAAAAGTAGCCAACAACTGAACTCTTAAAGCACGCTGGGATGGAGAGGGGAAAGAGAAGGAGAGGGAGGGAGAGGAAGTCAGAAGAGCGAAGACCACCAGGAGGAAAGGAAAATGACTACTGCCAACTTCCAGACGTTTCTTTTGTTTGGTTGGAAAGATACACACCTGCTGAAATGTAAGAAGGCAGACCAGTTCCAGAGTAAGGGTGGAAAGACTATGCGATGAGTAGGAAGAACCACAGATAACCCAAAGCAGGGAAGACTGTCACTTAGAGGCTGGAGGGCTTCTGAGAAACGGGACCACCAGAAACAATGGAAGGAAGCAAAGGATGGGGATTGAAGGGCTGGCAGTGGGCAGTGGAGCCTATAATTCTCTGCTCCAGTTCAGTCAAGCCTCTCTCAGGATGCTTGTCTCTAGGAAATCTCTCAGCAGGAACCTGATTCAGTGGGTCTGGGAGGGTCCAGGCATCCTGAGTCAGCCTGTTGAGTTCCAGAGATGGTAGCTCTCTGTTCAGCCATGACGCATGACCCCCAGACCAGAGGACCACATGGGCACAGACAAGTACAAAGGGTAAGAGGCCCGGGTCCTAACAAGAATCACAGATCCCAGCGTTCTCAAGAAAATCCATGGGAAGAGCTTAGCACTGAACCTACCACATGGTAAACACAGGACTGGTGGTTTATTATTCTTGGTATTTATTATTTTATCGTTAGGGAGAAGCTGCCTGATGGCGTAGTTCTGTCTACAGCTCAGACGCACAAATTCCACGGCTGCTTTCCAAGCAGGACTAACAGGAAATGCAGGGAAAACCTTTCTCTACTTGTCTAGCAAAGGATGAAGATAGAATCTGCACAAGAGTGGTGCTCACCGGGGGTAGGATTTAAAAGTTAATTTTCCCTCTTCCTCCTAGAAACATGGAAGAAGCTCACTCTGACCAAAGCTGGACACCATCACCTTCACACTGTTTTGCACAATATGGGTTTTTTCCCAGTCCAATCAGACTCTATAACACGGGAGGGGGTGGATTCAAGCTGCCCACGATCTTGTATCTTCTGATCATGACTGTGTGCCAGGCAGGTCCCTAGGAAACTACAGGTCTCACCAGGTTGACCAGTTCCCAAGCAAGCAAGGGGAAGGAATGCAGTCACCCCGGCAGAGTCCAGGGTCCAGTCATGATTCCCATACAGCCTGCCTGTTCCTGTGCTACTACTGGGCACGTGGGAGGGTGTTCTTCGTGAAAATGCCCCATCTCTCCAGCCCAAGGACCCCACAGTCCTTTCTTTCTATGTCACATCATGTCCATGCTGGAGTCACGTATGTACCTTTCTTGATTCCACTATAGCTAGGCTCCTTAAGGACAAAGACTGTCTTCTAGAACCTTCCATCCCCTGTCATGCCCAGCTTGTGTCAGTGGTGAGACTCAAGCTGCTGAAGAGCCACTGAATTCCAACTGCAGTCACGAGAGGAAGAGATCACACAGTCTCACAGATTCATTCACCAACATGGAGTCGCTCAGAATCATAGCACAAAGCTGGACAGACCTTCAAAAACCAGCTAGTCGTATCTTTATCAGTACAGTACCTTAAAAATGGTTTACGAGCCCCCGGCATAGACACAGTGACCAAGAGTGAAGGCTGTGATGCAAGGAAGACCCAGAATGAAATTTTACTTGACTCGTCTAGCTGTGTAACCTGTCTCAGGAGCTTCGTCCTGTCTCTGCAAACTCTAGATGCGACGGGGGTCAACCTCAGAGCATCACTGTGAAAATTAAGGCTCAAGTCTATAAAATGCTCAATAGTGGGCCTGGCACAGAGTTACACATGCAAAGAAGCTCTGAAAAATACTGTCCAAAGAGTCCTAATGAGGAGTGCACAGTGGAGGTACGGTTGGCCACCCCTCTAGTATGCTCTAATCAAAGTCCCAGACAGCACTCCTTAATTCAAAGGCAAGACGTTTATTATAGGGCAAGAGCGTGTGGCACTTTTTCGGCCACCCTTCCACAAGCGCATGCTTCTTCTTAAAAATGTGATATTTAATTGACAAATTTTTTCATCTCTTTTGAGAAAAAAACCATCACTTTATCATGCTAACAAATATGAAAGCCTACAGAAGAACTGAATACCTAGAGATAACCAAGGGCCTTCCAGAATCAGGATGAGGGCGTTGAAGCAGGAGTTCACATAAGTGAAACACCAACCAACCCAAATAGGAAATGTCCCTTAGACTTTCCCCTTCCCTACAATCAGTGCCCACTTCTTTAAGGGGGTCCTTAAGGACTGTGTCCAAAACTGTTACCGCCCTAAGAAATTCAACAGTGAAAAGTATCATTCCTGGGGGAAAGACTCAGACAACCTTCCAGAAATGATCTAGGGAATCTAAGTGAAAGTGATAATCCATGTTGGTGGGATAAACAGCTGGAAACATGCCTCTCTCCCCGTTTTATCTTTTTATAGACAAGAGTCCACTATTTAAGACAAACTACTATAACACGGAACCAGGAACCTTTGAGGCAACCACCTTATCTAAATATTAAGTAGGTCTTCAAAACTGCCTAGGGCGTGCAACATCATTACCTCCAGTGACAGCTGACCAACATTCAAGGTCGGGGTGGTGGCAGTCCCAGAGAGTTGCATGGTGAGCCTAGTTACTCGTATCTAACCCTTTAGGAACAGGCTGAAAAGCAGGAATCTCTGAGCCACAAAAACACCGAGAGTGACTAAAACATTCCACGTAAGGTCCAGGAGTCACCCTACAGTTGCCCACACAACACCCACGCCATCAGCACCTGGCACTCCCCCTGGAGCCCCCTAGAACCCTTTGTCTGATGAGCTGAGGGAGAACAGGACAGAGGAGCACTGTCCAGTGCTGTTCCCGAAGCTCTCCTGTCAACCCCAGCACAGCTCACCACTGCTACCTCTGAGTGCAGCCTTCCCACTGAACCTGGCTTAGCGCTGCGCACGACATACTGTATTAAATCCTCACAACACACCTATGAAGTCGCTGGCATTTCTTATTAGTTCTACACAGCAGGTGTTGCAGATCACAGGCCTTGGGAAGGTGGTGTTTCCAGGTTTTCATGCTCACCTGCCCATGGTGTCTGCAGAGCCTGATGCTGGGATGGGGTTTACTGCCATGCTGATGTAGTGAGCTGCACCCTCTGAGCTTAGCCTGGGCCAACCTTCCCCACTGGACAAAGGCTTCAGGACTCACAAAGGGATCTGTTCCTCACTCTCCCACCCAC